AACATGCGATTGTTCCACTTTGCAAAAGCGCTTCAAGTGTCGCCTACATTTCCTGTATTATTTAATTTGTTCCATTTCGGCAATGCCATAAATGAGATGCTTTTTTGCAGAATAAAAATAAAATAAAAACCAGGAAAATATTCAAGTGGGCATTTTTTCGTACTTTGCAGGTATGGACGTTTTTTCCATGGGCATTTTTTCTTGTGGGCGTTTTTTCTGTGGGCATTATTTCCGTGGGCATTTCTTCAGTGGGCGTTTTTTCGTATATTCGCCCACTGTGATAGGGTAACATTACGGCTTCATATATCTTGATCCACTACGGATAGGCCAGTCCTGATTTATCTAAATCGGGAGCTAAAAGGTGCAAAGACGGATTTTCCATGCTTCCCCATCCCGGAATATCTTGGAACGCTGATCCTTCCCTAATTATTCCACGATGTTAATTTACTGCCGAACGGTTTTACTCAAGGAGGGTCAGAGGGTTGGAGGGAGGGGGGGGGGGGGGGATAAAATTTTGCGCATGTGATGACGTCAGCGAAACGTTCCACTATAAAAGCGGGCTCTTTTTGCCCTTCACGATCTTATTACCTCGCTGCTTGAGGCCAAGACAGGTCGCACACGCTTTCTCATGTCTCTCGCAGCCGTAATACATCTGTATCTGTTTGTCGGAGCCACCTAGGGGGCATCGTACATAAATTGCCGACCTGTTCGTTGATTTCCAGGATATTCTTAGGTACCTTTATTTCATTCGCCCTCTTAGTAGCAGTTGTTTTGAAGGACAATGGCAAGGATTGCATTGTCGCATCCCCAAAGAATATCTATAGGACTCGGCAGGCACGAAATATTTCCAGACACGAAATACTTCCAGACAGAGGAAATGAATGGCTTCAATCGCTGGGAAGAAAATCTATTCCCAGATATGCTTTAGTGTGCTCGCATCCCTTCTCTTTAGATTCCTATCGTGATCGAAACGCTATAAGGCGCTTGAAAAAATATGCCGTTCAAAAAAGAACCTGGCCGAAGATCCAACGAAACCTTGAATGGATACAACGACATATAATCATCGTACCGGATGACCATGAATGCTCATTGCTTAGGGGTAGAAATCCTTCGTCAGAAGCTGAAGAGGGCACAGGAGATAATGAAGCTGAGATAAATTCTTTCCTCTTAGATGATGCAAAAAAAGAACGGTCGTCAGAGATCCCCAAGGAAAGGTATCTGTTTCAAAAACTCGTTCACGAAGGAGTATTCACAAATACTCAGTTGTGAAATAAGTTATCAATTACAAATACCCGCATATCCATCCATTGACTATTTGGATCTTTCTACCTACCTCTTCTAGGCTGAGATACCTGAACAGATGGAATGCAGTGAGGATGAACCGGGAGCGTTAGGAATTGAAATGAACAAAATTGGGAATAATGGTGACGGAAAAAGGATTTTCATGACAGCTCCGATCTAATGTGAGATGGCCGGACATCGAATTCACAAAACCCATCACAAAAAGAAAGAAAAGAAAAAGTAAAAAAAAAGAAAGTGTAGAGGACATTTTCGGATTTTGTGATGTCATGGTCTTGCCCGGTTTCCCATGCCAAAGGCGTGTTTCGCTACCCTGTCGACTTACACAGCATACCCGAGAGTGCAAGGCGTTCCACCCCCCAAAACGCGTTTCTGCGCAGATCTAAGAGGGGTCTCTCCGACCCCCCTTGGTTTTACTTCTCAAGAGATGTCTCCTTGAGGAACACTATTCTTAACCCTTTAATGCATGATATGTTCTTTTTCGACGAAAAAATTTTGGTGCGTTTTACTTAGGTCCCAGAACACGGGAGAGCGGAAAAAAAATGTTCTTCCTCAAATTTGTAAGCAGTAGGCCTGAAAATATTATTGTTGCACATCTGCTACAAACAACCCGATTGCATGGAGGCTAGAGAGCTCAGTCAGTCAACATTCGTACATACCTGAACGCAAATGAAAATGTAAAAAAAAGGGATGAACCTGGATCCTGGATTCAGTGGCGTAGCGAGAGGGGAGGGGGGACTGAAGCTCCCCCAAGTTTAGTTCTAGCCCCCAACTCTGGTCATAATGTGTCCCCCCCCTCCTTCCCACACTTCCCCCCCCCCCCCCGCCCGAGGAGAAGTTATTAGCCCCCCCCCCCCCCCATGTTACTCTTAGCCACCCCTTCGGCGAAACCCTGGAAACGCCACTGCCTGGGTTAGCATCAAGTTGAAAATACTTGCACCTATAACGTCGGTCTGTCACACGACAAAGCCGTGTTTTTAGATTGCTTGCCACCAGGAGTGTAGGTAGGGTTGCCACCTTTGAAATTAGCAAAATATGGACATATGGTCTGTGGACGTATGGAAATATGGACAAATATATTAAGTATACTTGCATTTGTGGTTCTGCTGCAAATACCTACAGTCACCTTTAGCCAAAGTACCAATTGATGCTATAAGAGTGTGGCATACTACTCTGGCTCGAAGAAAACGGTGGTTTTCGCTGCTATTAAGTTTTATTAACTAAAAAATCTTAACAGGTTTCAAGTATGGATGAAGTAGTGTCCATATTAAGACAAGTTTGCAGTATGGACATTGCATCTGAAATATGAAATGTCCATACTAATAGTGAACGTGTGGCAACTCTAAGTGTAGGTCACCTAGCGACCCCTGGGGTACCAGGTACAAGGACTGGACTGTCGCACATCTGCTACGAATCCACTTACCGCTAGAGCTCACAACCTGCGTATTCTACTTTTTTTTTTAAATTGGAATGTAGCATATCTGCTACATCATGTATTAAAGGGTTAACACATGGGATCGTGAACTGAGGTAGACATCCAATGCTGGAAAAAGTGGGTAGAATGTTGAGCTCAGGTATGCATGAAATGCTAGTCCTATATTGCGGCATATTTCCGCTGGGCCAATATTGACGCGCAACGTTGGCCCTACATATTCCAGGTTGGCCTACTACGTTGAACCAATGAAGACCCTACACATTTTTGCCATATGAGAAATGATGACCAGGTTGAGAATTCCCAAATCTTCAACACTATGAACTCTCAAGTACTGCCACATCAAGGACATGCTCCTGGCAGCGATTTATCTGGATTCTTCCCATTGGAAAATGCAGAATCTTGGATTTTCCCCTTGTTTAACTTCTTCACATTCCTTTATTCCTCTTCCGATCCTGTGTGGATACCTTCGAACATGCGCAAAGCATGGCGACAGTGACATGGCTGGAGCCATGGAGACTTGCGGGTATAGGGGCATCAGGTGGCTTAGTGAGGTTGGGACGTGGTTGGTAGGCCAAACTTGAAGCGGGATGATTACCGTAACGTTGGAGCTTAGACGTACAGGGCCTATGATAGTTTAGTCTGTGGTTTCCAAATTTTATTTACTGATCGAATGATAAGTTACAGATAGGATCTAGTTGTCGAGCATTTAATCTTGAGCAGAGACTAGTGTTAGCCTAATACCTCTTAGTTTTCACAGACGTAGGCCTGACCCATCATTGCCAAGTATGTGCCTGCTCCAGGTTGTGGTGAACATTTACCTACAGATCTTTTAAAGCTTTTCATTCGAATTTTAATGCAATTTTAAGTGGAGATCCAACAAATGTAAGTAGTGGTAATTGTGAAAATTGAAAATGAACTTCCTACATGAAATCGAAGTTATCAGAAGAGCACAAAGATGGGCTTGTCTTCTACAACTTTAATTTCATAATAGGTACCTTATTGGGAATAAGTGCAACAATTTTTTTTTTAATAGAAATTTTGTCAATTTATCAATGTGTCTAGTATCTGCTATAGAACTCAATTGCACTGTAAGAAGTATTGTTAAGCTAGAGTGGCAAAAATTTGCTCATGTTATTGACTTTCAGTATTTGTGTTGCTGTTACTGTTAGCAATAGTGTTGCAATTGTCCTCTAATTAAAGAAAATCAATTCTGATGTGAGGGACACATCTCTCAAACCATTGATCATGTTAAGCATAAAATTTCTTCCTGTCTTGATAGTGGAGTAAGGCATTATCCAAAATACCAGAACAATCTTTAACCCTTTCATTGGCAGGTTTTTTGATAGCATAGTACCCCTTACCGGCAGTATTTTTTTTTTGCATGCCCTTAAGTATTAACATCCTAAGTTAACTTTCAATATTGTGCACCAAATCTGCACTGAAAAACATGGATTCACCATTCATGGAATGAAGCAACTATTAGAATGTTGGAACTAATTCCTACAAAACCACACAGTCAGAGAAATTCTCATGGCTGTCAAAAATTGGAATATCTTAGGCTTGCTGGTTGAGGCAGTAAATGCAAGTACCCCTTAAAGATAACAATGATTTTCACAAAACTCTTCTTTCAACAAAACCAGGAAAGAGAGACAATATACAGTTCTGGGAAACTCAAAATTTAATAGCATAACTCTTGGGAGGAAAATTCAGGGTAACTTCTTGTTCATTTTCTATGGAGCCTGAAGGTTTGAAAGCAGTGAACAAAACATTCATCATAGATTGAAAGCATTTCTATCTTTAGAAAAACCTTTGGTATGAATATAGAGGACACAGCACTGTTAGAGTAATTTCTTGGAAAGTTTTTTCTTTCTCTGTCTCTTACATAAAAGGACATGAAAGAAACCCTTCATTATATTTAAATATATAAATCTAGGGCCAAGACAACTTTCCAGCATCAGCAATGAGGAAACCTTTCTCATTCTATGAATGAGCTATGAATGAGCTATGAATTAACTTCACTGCTGCCCAGAAGTTAGCACCTCATCCTGTGGGCCTTAAAAAAATGTTTGTCACAAAAATACAAAGACCAAATGATTCCAAAAAATCAGATATATTGCAGAAAGTGAAACTGCTATGGGTACAGGACTAAAACAATATACCCTGTGCTGGGAGCCATAGGAAATTAATAAACTCCTGACTTGTTAACTGATCATTAAAGCAATGAATGGGTCAAGAAGTTCTCTATCATGCCCATCATGCCTTACATGGCCAATCTAATTTCAGTTCCTCAACTGAGGGATAATTTGAATGATGTTATAGTGCCCTCTTTCACCTTCAATTACATTTTGTGTACTCATTTCAATACTCCCTGGAAAATTGGTGTAACTAAGTAAAAAACTATTTTTGGTGTTATGAACTGAATTCCATGGTCTTCCAAACTATTCATTTAGTCCTTTTAGTGCTGCTCTGATTACATAAAGGCACACCAAAGCTGATCACATTTACCCCACGAAATTAGGCCTGCTGGTGAGTGTGATCATTCCCAATGTAATCTTTTGTTCAATTTACATATCTGATTCACTTGTTGACCCTTAGGCTTCACTTTGAGACTAACAATAAATTCTGTCCCAGAAGCTGATGCCCCTTTTTTGGTCAGAGTTTCCTGTTTCAGTGACACATATATGTCAGCCTCTACACAATTGATTAAATAGTTTTTAGCCTACCCATGTGGAGAAGTCATATATGAATGTGTGGCATATGCAATATATCTTATTATAATTTATGGCCTTATATATGATATAGTCTTCCATTAACATAATCAAAGACATCTACGTCAAATATATGGAGCATCAGATTTGATATTTATCTTTCATATGGTGGGGTAGATAAATCATACCTGACAGATACACATACAGTTGTATCAGGTATGAAGCATAAAAGTTATATTGTCATCCTCTCATATCTTGATCAAATGCCAGAAATGACTTCATGAGTTATGATTAAAAGGATATATCATTTGTCACTTGGATGGTATCTGATATTGAAAGTAAAACATCTTTAAGAAGGTATAAATAAAAAATATGATAGAATATGTGAGGTAAAAATTTTCATTTTAGTACTTCACAGAAAATGGAGATTTTTCAAGCTGTGCATGCACTTTCAACAGGAGACAGGTCATATCCATAACAGGTTATATCCTGTGTCCTCTACTCATATGCAGAAGCATGGTATTTTGGCATCCAGCCCATGGAGTGGAATGATGATATAGGTTGATGTATAAAACTGAATAAACTCACACTGATGAATTTCACTATCTGTCTCAAATTTCCAACAGAGCACTATGGTTTGTCAATAAACTATAAGCATTTCATGAAACATGCACAGGGTATGCGCAAAGGTGCTTGTGACAAAGTAGGGTATGAGTAAATCTAGTGGACAACTACATCATATAAGTTCTATTATGTTGGGTGGTCTAAAAAATCCTGCTTGATGATATAAAGACACTAAAATTTCAGGAAACACAATTTAGAGTCTTCTTAATACACAAAATTACAAACTGAGCATTTCTACAGTATTCTTAATAAAGCCTTAGACAGCATGCCCCTTTTTTGGGCCACCTTGTATATCTCCCTCCACAGTGGCCCTTGTTCTATATAACTTGTTTAAACATCCTTTCCAATGGCCATTGGGTCTGTGGAGGACATAGCTTCAGATATCAATACATGGATAATACATGAATAAATATTTACAAATTTCACACATAATCTTTTCAATTGGCTGCCCTCATTGTGCAATTAACCCCTTAACTGGGAAGTTTTTCACCAAATGCCTAAGGGAGGCCAGATGTCAAAAGGCGTCTAACCCGGTTAATGCAGGGTAAGAAACGATCTTGCCATTTGCAACTGTTTCATCAGTTAGGTTTTGTTAGTTTTTGATTTGCCATTTTGCTTAGGGGAGATTGAGTCTGTGAAGGATATGAGTGTAAGGAACAAGAGACTGGTGATGGGGCAGGGTAGGGTGTTCAGTAACAAAATAATGCCTATTCCAGTCATTCAGAGGGTAGGTGAATATTTTCATTATTCCTGTAAATGATAATGCCCCCCCCCCCCCCTGTGATAAGATGTGGGGGGTAAGTGTTATTACCAGAGAAAGTGCTTTCTTGAAAATATGCAATAAATTTTAATTCTTAAACTTTAAAACTTTCATGTTTATCTCCTTTAACACTTTTGATCCTATGGACGTAATTGTACATTCCAGTCCTAACTACCATTGGACGATGGTGGACACCCTTTTAAATTTTTATAATACTGAAATAATTTAACATAATAAAATGGAGGACTTATGCTTCAATTTCCAATAAAAAGCAAGTTTCTTACATTTTGTGTTCAGAAGTCATGTATTTTTTGGTAGACCTCAAAATAACCTCAGTCACCAACCTTCAGGATTAAAAGTGTTAAACATGAGGTTTTAAAGTGACCTAGGATGCATTTGTACTGTATTATATTATTTCATAAATTATTTGGGAAATATAATCATAACTGCTTTTGAAATTGTTCTCTTTGTTCATGCATTTGCTTTATTGGATGCCTTTAATTAAGAGATCTTATTCCCTCAGCAAAATGAATTTATAACTAAGTTTTGTATGAACCCCTTGATGGATTAGTAAGAGAAATGTTTAGAAATTAGGTACACTCAAGGCAGACTACCACACATTTGGAAATAAGCCATTTTAAAAAGTAGGGGGGGCTTCACACTTGAAGGTATGGTGCTACAGCAACACAATCTTGGCCTTATACCTGTCTCGACCTGGACAATCCTTGACTTTGGCTATTTTAGTACTACACCCACTTATAAGTTGAGGCATTGCCTAATCTGACTATCACCTTTTCATAGAAATTAAAATTTAATGCATGGTAAGAGATATGGGTTAAAGTTTTTCCTTGCATCAGCCATAAGCCAGGAGGAAAAAGTTACTCTTGAAGAATGACTTCCTGTTACAATTAATAAATGAGTGGAGTATAGGAAGAAGTGTTAAGAGTGATTAAGTTAAGGTGGAATGGAGTATAACTCCAAAGTTCATGAGTCATATGTGATATTTTTGAAAATCCAGAAACTTTTCAGCCTCTCCTTGTAGACCATAAATTATGGAATTGAATGGCTCCAACACTACCACTGATTCTGCACATGATCCATGAACTTACTCCCCAGCTCATATGTGAAGTTACCAAATGTCTTAGCCTTGTCACTTTCTGAACAGCTGACTATTGCCTATTTTGGTTATGTCCTATTAGAAAATGTTTCATGTGCAGCTATGCCAGTGTTTCTTTTTTTAGGTCACTTGGCCTAAATTGCATTAATTTAGCTTGATTAGGCCTGAATTACTGTGAAGATGTGGAAGATACGGGAGATCACTGACAAAGTGTAAGTTTCTTGTCATCTAAAATATCCATGTTTATTTTTAAGAAGCTACATGTTTTATAAAATGAACTTATTTTAAATGTTCCAACATAATTGACAGATTCAGAATTGGAAAGTTGCAAGTACAATTTGTTTTTTTTGCAGGGATTGATTGCAAAATCTTTTAATATTAATTTTTTTGACTTCCCATATCCAATTAACCCTAGGTTAAAGTAGTCAACAGCCTCTACATGATGCTGGGCTAAAAGAAACAAAATAACATGCCACTTAGATTTATAGCCATCTTACAATTGTTCCTTTTATACTCGTAGTATCTGGAAATATATAGTTTATTGGAATTCTTTAACTGGTAAGGTTTATGTCACTTTGGATGAGTCTTCTATCATGGTAATTTGGCTCATCATTTCTTTAAAATAATGCTGTATGAAAGTTAAAAGTCTTGGTAAATTAACCTCCAGAAAGTTGGGTCCTCCTAAATTTTGACATGAATGATATTTACTGTGTAGCATGCAAAATTAATTCATGAAAAAGACTGGGATGTACATTATGTCAGCATTCCTGAATGCAATTTTGAAGAAAAACTGTGGGGCTTTGTAAATGAGAAAATGGTCATGAAGTCCATGTGTGACACTAGTTGGACACCATGAGGGACAAATATTAAAATTTTTTCACTGCATCTCTTATCTATATGAAGTATTTGATATAAAACTTAAATACTGAGATTTGATTTAATTCATCAGGTTGTGGTCATTAGAATATTCATGCCTCTTCACAACAAAGCGTAGCCAATGCTAAGGCCAACACCTAGTGGGGGTAGTTCTATCATTCTCATTTGTTAATAGGATTGATAGTCAATATTGCACATCAGTCAGCCCAAAAAGACAGACCTAGCTTAGGCATATGCAGTTGTCTCACTGCCTAGGACCTTCAACTTCTTGTAAGGCAAATGGGTCCAATTTGGTTTTTGCAGCCTTGCCTCATGAGGTTAGTGTCATGTGTAGATTTTGATCCCCTTTCTTACATATGCCAACACATTGCTGTATTCCTTCTAAGCCACATCCTGGAATATTGAGATAAAGCAGAGCACAGCATTTTTGGGGGCCTTTTTGAGGATCAAAGCTTTTTCGTGATGCTTATTTTTTTAAGTAGTGTGAGTAACCAAATTGCCATAAAAGGAAACTCACCATGAAGTGGCATAAACTTATAGTTAAAGTTATCAATTTAAAAAGTTCAAAAGTCAAAATCCTGGACCTGGCATCACCATGTTCCATCACTGTATAAAACCTTATATTCCACCTTATCATCAGCCCTTTATTTATATTGAGATGAATTATGATGCTTTGATAGTACCAATGTGGTGATGAACTACACAGAGACTGAAGCAAAAGTGAGAGAGGCTACAAATGATGAAGCTTGGGGTCCCACTGGTGCTATCCTTCAGGTTTGTCTCGTTATTGTCTTTAGTAATGACTTCACCCTGTTATACTATTGTTTCATTCTACCAGAACAAAATTATTTTTAAAAAAATTGGGAAAAGTCTTTGCACTAAAAGAAAATGTAGAGGTAAATAAGTGTATTGACCAATATAGGCATTCATGACCACTCATGGCTGTGGTTCTGTGTATGTGGCATCCCACATCAGATGCACAAATTATGAGAGAGATGATATGAGAACCAGTGGTCAGTTTAAAAGTTAGTCAGGTTATAAAAGGACATGTCTGCTATATAATAGACTTGCTTCAGCTTGAGTCATAAGTCACAATGTCAGAGAATAATGCATGCTTAACATTTACATTAACCACTCTGTGTAATATATGTGTGTTATAATGTAGAAAGCAGCTGTCAAAGAAGCACTGATGAGTTACTTTTATCCTTTCTCAAAAATTGGTTTTGAGTATATTTGAAGAGAAAACCAGTCCCAGAATTAATCCTCATCATGCATGATATGTGCAACATTTTATTACTAGAGGCTAGGGATGGAGCTTGGAAAAAGTGTCCCTTTCAACAGTAAAAATTTGTGTCTCATCCCTGTCAAGGTCACCAAAATATCAAGAATGATAAAGATGGTCATACTGAGATGTATGAAAAAAAGATAAGCATCCTTGTCAAGCAAGAGGGAAAAGAAATGGGGAAAATACAGGGTTTGCCAATAAAAAAGGAGATCCTATACCAGGGTAAGCACCCTGGTTTCTGGCCGGTCTCCAGTTGTTGGCCAGTGAGGCTTAAATCCAGCATGATTAGTTAATATGGCCGTTTTCAAGCATTCTATCGTCATCTTCCCGTACAAGGACCTATTACTAGTGTTTCCCAGTGTGTGCACAGGGTGTCCACTTCCTATGGGAGTCGTATCAGTGTGGCCAAAAACTTGGGTGTTTACCCTATATGCTATAATTGTAAAATGATTCTAATTTAACTTAACATGTTAAAATATGTTTAACTATCATTCTTAAGTGCAAATTTGAAACCCATAGCTGTACTCATTTAAGAATACCATGAAAATAAAAAACAGGTAATATATTGTTAACATTAAGTTTTTATTTCAATTACAAATTGACACAATGACATCTGACTCATTTATAACTCAAATTAAAAAATTGTTAAATATGTTTTCCTCTAATCTCTACTACTTTCCTGAGCCTTGATCGAAATTGTTCTATAGCATGATTCACCTGGTCTTGGGGTAGTTCATCCCATTTTCTTATCAGCACATTTCTGAGTTGGTTGACATCCCTGATTTTTTCACTATACACTCTTTCTGAAAGGTTCTCCCAGATGCCATAATCCACTGGATTTAGGTCAGGGCTATCAGGAGGCTAAAAATTTGGTTCAAGAGTTTCTGGAACATGTGTGGTTAAATAAGCAACAGTTCCTTTTGTGGTATGAGCCTTTGCATCATCTTGTTGGGAAATAAAATGACCTCCATTAGCAAGTTCTTTCATTTCAGGAATCATATTCTTTAAAAGAGTATTCCTATAATAGTCTCCATTTACTTTAACACCTGGTTCTACTAAATGAATAGGTGTCTTTCTCAATTTTGAAACACTGACAGATACCATAATGCTTTTTGGAAACTGACTTCTTGTTGAGTAGAGTCTTTCATCAGTGATTTGGTTCTTTAATATGACATCTGAGTACACTCTGCTGTTTTGAGAGTTTCTTGGTGGCTCTACAGTGGATGTTTTTTCCATTAGTGAAGAATGTCTTACTGATCTTTGCAACTGTCATATATCTCAGCAGTCTGTTTGCCTGAGTGACTCATTTTTCTCCTTCAGCTGTACTAAGCCTCTGTCCATGGAGTCATTAAAAGTCTGAAGTTGAAGATCCTTTTTGATTTTATGATACATTAGATTCTGATACTCCTGTCACTTTTTAAATCCGTACAGGAGTCTCATGGGTACCTGGCAAATCTTCTTGACAGTGAATTCCTGAAAAAACTTCTTCAGTGTTCTCTTCTGTTCTTGCACTTTTTGGGCATTCACTACCTGGTATTCTTTCTACTCTGCCAGTATTATACGTTTTTCAAAGTAATTTATCCAATCCACCAGGTGTCCATCCTTTATCTGGAAATTCTGCTAACAATTTATTTCTTTCATATCCCTTTTCAAGCCTGTAGTGCATTATAATTATCTTGTCTTCATGTGAAAATGGCATTTTTGGGATCTGAAAAAAAAGACAAAATTAAGGTTAACGCACAATATATTATATACATTTTTCATTGTAATCTTAAATGAGTACAGGTATGGGTTTAAAATTTGCAATCAGTTTAGTCTAGTTAAACATTTTAATGTGTTGAAGTTAAATTAGAATCGTTTTGCAATTATAGATTTTATACCATATAGTATTGGGTCTCCTTTTTTATTGGCAGACCCTGTAGATCTGGCAATGAAAATGGATATCTAAAATCACTCTCATCAGTTGCTTTCCCTTTCTCTATTTCTCATTCTATCAAACTTGTATCAAATTTAGAATTTTCACTGTTTAAGTTCTTCAAGCTGTTGTATTTGAACCATTTCAATAATTTCAGCTCGTTTTTTTTAAAAACCATATTGTTCACTTGAATAAAAAGTCCATGTAAGGATAAAAAAATTTTTAAACTCAAAGTATCATTATTAAAAGAAAGGCAAATCCCTTTGCAAACATTGTTATCAAAGGCCCTTGAGTTGGGAGTCCCTGCTGTTCTTACTCCATGTTAGGCCCTAATGATATCACCCATGAAGGCCTGTTTTAATTTGTATATTTAGCTCCTTCTCAATTCTCTTTTTCTTTAAGTAAGAGTATGCTTTTTATTTTATCACAATTTTATTTCTTTATATGCAAATAAGATTAACATTTAAGCCCAATAATGGAAGTTTGATGTTTGCCTGTCAGAATTACATATACATCCTTTTGGACTGGCAGGAACTAGCTCAAGCAACTTTCACCTATGAGCAGTTTCCAGAGGTTATGGGGATGCTCTGGAAGAGAATGCTCCAGGATAACAGGAAAAACTGGAGGAGAACATACAAGGTAAGGGTTTTCTCTTGTGCATTTTTGTTGAAACCCTAACATTTAACCCTTTCAGTCCTGAATTATGTTCTAGGCATGGAAAAAATATGTAATTTAATTTTTGGGCTTCAACAAGGCTGATGTAACATAGTGCTTCTAAAATGGTTTCAAGTAAAATTAAATGTGCCAATTATTTAAATAAATTGATAAAATCATGTTATTTAATTTATTAGTTCAGCAAGTACTCTTATCCCTATTTTACATCATATGTTTCCCCAGTATTTCTGTACTACTTTCCATTATCTAGCTTTAACACATTGATGACTGGACATATGAAAACCCAATATATGAAAGCATAGAAATCTCCATAATCCTGTCCTCAATGTGTTTTTTAAAAAAAACCAGGAAAAATTGGCTGGGAAAGAAATGTTTAGCTGAAATAATTATAAATGATGACACCATTTTTGAAAAGCCAGAGGAAATACACAGCTTTATATTACTGTGGACTGCTGTCATCTTGACAACTGTCAGTGAACTACTATAAACAGGGACTTAGACATTTAGACTTAGGCGGAGACATTTGGTTTCAGCAGTGAAATGTCATTTTCAACATTTCCTATAAAAACAAAACTGGATGCGAAATGTGGTGACTAAAATCTTGAGGTCATCCACTGTGTTTAAAGTTTGTCAATGAGCAAGTTTCTTTTGAATTCCTGATATTGGAGGCCAAGAATGAAGTAGAAGCAATAGGGAACGAGAATAGCAATCACTAGAGAGCATTTTCTGCTCAAGTGGATTGTAGGTGCAAATGTTCAACTTCTCCCACAGACAATTTCATGGCATTCATTTTAGGGGAATGGGAAGGACTGTTTGATTATTCAAGCAAGGAAAGACCTAATTCAACCTTTTTTAACAATAAATAAAATGTGGACTGGGACAGATGCATATGGACAAGGACGAATGCCACAAGCAGCTGAACAGAGTTAAGGAAATGGGTTTCAAATTGGACATCCCTAGAACATTGCCACATATTCCTACACTCACTGTCACAATGTATCCTGTTTTCATGGGCTTGGAGAAGGTGATGGCAACTTCAGTGCCACTCAGGCATGAGGTAATCCATCACTGCACATTTGGTTGGTAAGGCAGGTGCTATTAAGGTTCACCAAACCCTTATCTCTCACCCAATGGATGGTCAATGTATAAGCCCAAGGGAGAGCAAGTACTTGTGTTTTCACTTGAGTCAGGCTTTTTTTCCCCACTTGACTTTAGCACTCATGCATGAGGAACATACCATGCACAAGTGTCTGTGTCAAATGAAAAATTGTCAAACTTAAGTGAAACTACTAGTACCCAAAAGTAGCTGAGTGAAGTGTCAGTCCAGACAAATACTGCCTGCCACCAGTTGGATTTGAACCTGGATGCTTGCTAGCCTGAGACCCTGACCGTTGAGCTGCAGCGACACAGTCCTTAAACCTGCTCTACCAAACTGAAACTTTTAATAGTTCCAATGTGTTACATTATTAAATTGTTCACTATCCACTGCTTCTTCTCCTTAGTCTCTTGTAGTCCTGCAATATCTGCTGAGAAATGGATCTGAAAGAGTGGTAACAAGCTCTAGAGAGCATGTTTTTGACCTGCGTAGCTTGGAGAACTATTCTTTCATTGATGAGCAAGGGAAGGATCAAGGTCTTAATATCAGGTGAGATTTCATTCAATTGAAATATACTCTCAGTTTCATTTACAGCACAAGCAATGATAATTTTAAACGGACTGCTGCAAAGCTGCTGTTTTGCTCTTTTTTAGACACAAGGTGAAAGATCTCATTGCCTTCATTCAAGATGATGAAAGACTTCGAGAAGAGAGAAAGAAAGCCAAGAAAAACAAAGACAAATATGTAGGAATTGCAAATCATGACATGGGTTTCACCAGTCTTAGTGAGTCTTCCTCATTCATTTCATAAATACAATAATTTGTGTACTTGGCTAAATGATGTTACTTTCACAGCACGCTCTTCCATCTGGGATGATACGAAGAGATATAAGGATGAGTTCTCCTCTTGGGATCCTCACAAGAAAAGTAGCAATTCTGGAGGCACCTATCGTGATGAATCGCCAGAACACAGGTGACTGTGGTTGAGTTTTCCTGCTGAAGTAGACCTAATTCTTCTGGCATACCTCAATTTTCTCTTGAGACTTGATGACTGGAACTTTAAATTTTCTAATGCTCTTCATTTTGTGATCATTTACAGTGCGGAGGAGGGAGAGCGATACTCTGATTCAGTGTCTCGTGTAAAGAGAAGGAATTCATTCCATGATGCACCATCCACATCTGATAATTTTGCCATATCTCCAAAGGAGGAAGGAACTGAAAGAGTTACTCTTTCATCCACAAAGAGGGCAAACTCCTCTTCCCCCATGGTCCGTATGAGCCCCACACCTTTACCCATTTCTTCACCCAGTGAATTTGTGAGTTAATCATTTTAACATTCTCCTTTTTTGAGGGGGGAGTGCATTTAAAAGTCTTATCACAGGGAGGGCCTCCTTTCTCTTAAATTTTTTTGTTTTTAACATTTGTCGTAGAAGATGAAAAATAAGCTCATTTAAGTTGTCATTAACTTTGCCCATATTTGCAAACCATTGTAGGTAAAAAACAAAGCCAATGAAGGAACAACAGAGAATCTTCTGAACTCAGAAGTGGACACTGAAACATCTGAATTTGGGGACTTCACTGCTGCTCCTGCTGTGCATCACATGTGAGTTTCCATCATAATTTTGCATTGTTCAGAAAGGAATGATGTGGCGATTATTCAGATTCATTCATACTCATTTGGTTTCCTAACAGGAATTCTATAGGAACTGCTGGAGAACAGAACTTTGCTGACTTTGATTCTGCTTTTTCACAAATGAATATCCAAACTGGAGCAGGTTCTCCTATTTCTTCAACAGGTATTTACTCAGATATATTACTGTTGTCTGCACAGTAAAGTTATTAAAGTGGTTCAACATATGGTTCATGGACTTGTCAAAGAACAAAAGAATAAAAATATCTGTGGTATTCACTTTATGAATTCAAATGTTGAGAGTAGTAACATTGTTGTTATGAAAGCTATAGAAGGGCATTCATCATAGGATTCTTCTAGATTTTTGTTGTCTTCCAGGCATAATGCCCCCCTGCAAGTTTCCATCTTTTTCCAGGATGGACTTTTTTAAACTTGAAAGGAGCCTAAACATGCCATCAATGCTGCCCTAAACTACCAGTCATCAGCCCATACTTCAAAGAGGTCACAGCCCACCTTTGGGTGGGTTTACACCTGTACAGCACAATTTTAAAAAAATTTTTAATGCCCTCCAACATTGTCTATATTAGCCCCCCCCTCCTTCTTGCTTAATGTGTCCCTCACTGAATGCATATTTTACCATTATTGACCAAATGAAAATATTTAAAAAAGCTGGTGAAAAACCACTGTGTAGGAGGTTATTAACCAAATAATATATATAGAGCATTTCACTGCTTAACCCTTATCCAGGCAAGGTATTTTTGTGACACAAACGGGCAAGGCCAAACATTTTTAGAATTTTTTCCTTAAAAGCAAATCCAAACGTTAAAAATGCCCTTTGGATCTATGGATGACTGTCTATGAAACCCATATCAAATTTGAAATATATTTTGAAAAAAAATTGCAGAGAGTAATGTAATGAAATGTACCTTGGGGGTTCCAATAGATAAGGATTGCCTAGGTAAGGGTTAATATTCTGTAGTTGAGCTGTTGAAGTGCTACCATAGATGGTAGCATTTGTCACAGTACCATGCTTCATCTAAGCTGAGCTAAGAAATCATTAAAGGCAGGTAAATACAATTATATAGGAAGTTTTGTATCATTAATAGGCCAAATTATATTTGCCACCCTATGGTGATTATAACTTTAGCTTATTATATAACTAGCTATATAATAAGCTATAAGCTAGCTAGATTATAACTAGCTCTTTAATCATTTTTAGGATAAGGTTTAAATTGGATCATTACATTTATTGCAAAAATGAAAAAGTCCCTTTTGAACATTTTTTCATGAGAAAAAGGGTAAATTCTTGGATGCTAAGGAATACAAGCACAAATTTTCATCACTCAAGTTGAAGCAGTATGGCTGGCAGAGCATTAACAGCCACACAGATGACAAAGTAGTTTTCTGTGGTAGCCAATGCATTTTTTCACGTTATTGTAGTATATTTTTGCAAAAATTAGAAATGCCTTTCCACTTTGCATCCTAACAACAATTTCTTCAACTTGTCCCTCCTTGACACATTCCCTTATTGTTAGGCAGCTGTTACCTTGAAAGGAAACTCATAAATGAGATGTCCATTGAAAATTTAAATGCATTATTGAAAAATTGTGCCATGCTTTGCAAGGCTATCCTTGAATATCAAGAACTAATTCTAATAATAAACTCTTTTGCAATATCTGACATTATTCAATACTTTATCTGTTTTTCTTTGGTATGATGAGGGATTTAAGAATTTTGTTATCTTATTTGTGTTTTGTTTTCTCAATTTTGAAGGAACCACTGCAGGGAGTCAAGGAGGAAATGCCGGCAGCAATGAGTTGAACAAGGACCTTATGGGTTTGAGTTCCCAAATCTCGATGAGCTCCATCATGTATAGTCCTACATACATGCCAACTACTTCAGTTAGTAGTGGTATCTCATCTGTGCCTCCTGGGATGCCAGGGATGACTCCCATGTGGGGTGGAGCAAGGAGTCATGCTTCTATGATGATGCCTGGGAATCTTGCCTTCCCCCAGGGCATGGTACCTATGGGGCAGACACCCATATACATGTCCCCAATGCCTACCCAAGTGCCTCCCCCTGTCATGATGATGAATGTAGTTCCTCAGGTTCAAACCCAACCTCAACCTGTATCATCTCCAGCTAATGATATTCTGTCTGGCACTGGAGCACCACCACCTGTGACTCCTCAGAATGTTCTCACTCCTCTGCAGCATGGAGGTGAGGGGCTATTTTGTCAATTAAATGTCATAATTGATTGTGTGGATTTCCTTCATGATTCAGTCAAATCTCATGTAATTAAGTCAAATGAGGCTGCATAAATCATGCTTAATTAAAAGAGGGTGGTGTGACTGGTTTGCAAAACACTTAACCCATTTCATGACCTTTTTCATGGTTTCATCAACTGGGGAAATGAATTTCAGAATTTCCAAGGTAAATAATTCCTATTGGGTAACTTGTGGAATATGGCCATTGGGGTAATATGGCCCTTCACAATGAATCCCCTTACAGACTGAATTATATGTTTGGGCGAATTTTAAATTCTGTTCTGTCGAAGAGTACATGCAAGTGTTGAAATGTTTAGACCTGTTCATTGATCCAGTTCTCACAGGAATTTGGGATACATCAATGTCTTGAAAGTCATATGCATGTGATTCTTTGACTCATGATCCTGAAACTAATATGAGCCCTGAGCAACTTAAGCGTATATTTCTTAATAGCAGCATGGATACAGAAACCATTTGTTAAAAGTTATTCTATGTTCCCTCCAGAATGTTTGTGGAAAGTACTAGCCCCTTCACTGTCTGTGGTTTGCAGACAATGTTGTCAATTTTGTCACGAAAGTCAATATGGGGAATATGGCCATCTCAAATTAGGTTTTTAATTTTTTCATATGCCTTGCACTTGCAGTTTCAGTCTGCCACTTCCTGGATTGAGACCTGATGATGATTGAATCTTATTTTTTTTAATCTGCTGTGTAGCTCCTAGTTGAGGTGATGAGAAGTCCTGGAGCAAAAATTCTGTCCAGATTGTTTTTCTCTGGAATTCAGCACCAGTCTGATTTTGCTGGCTAGAAGTATTGATAGGCCTGGCTACTTGGATGCATGATACTAATGTAGAAGTATCCTTCTTCCTTATCCTGAACTAAGCCAATCTGCTATTGGTATTAATCTGTGCTAACAATAAATCCAGATATTGGTGCTATGATGAGAATGACATTACAGGCTTCTTCATCAGCATATTTGTCATCAGTATTTCAGACTAACCAATGTTGGTAATGGTTGTGTCTATGAACATTCAACTGAGCAATACTCGCCACTTTGATATAAACTTTTTTTGTTTTACCCAAGGCCATTATAATTAGAGATTGACCAATATATTGGCTGTCGCTATTAACCTGCCAATTTAAAAATAGCTGCACAATCTGGTCCTATAATATATGACCACCACTAGATTTTCCATTATCATATGGAAGTATAATACCCATCCTGGTTTGCATGAGTAAGGCAACATATTGTCATCATAAAGGCGTGAAGACATGAATCTCTAGCTCTGCTTCCTGCTCCTTGTTTTGCATATAGGCCTAGGCCTATTCTTAGCTTTGAGGATCAGCAAAAAGGAATAGCAAAGCCCAAATCTAAGATAACTCCCTTTTCCCCAGACCTAGGTTGAACTTTGCATTGTGCGTCTTCCCAACTGCCCCCTCCCCTCCCCTCCTAGGGTGGTGTGCGTCCACCTTTCCTGTGGACTATCCCCATGTGCAATTTAGGTCTCTCCTTTAATTTAGGGAGCCACGTCCCAACATCTAACACTTTCCCCGTTTCCCCACACTTCACCTCCCAAAGACGAGGAAAATAGGAGCATTCGGTAAAAGCTTTCATAGCAGTCCCGATCTTTTCCACATAACCACCACCACTATTTTCTTATCAGACATAAAGCATAGGTTTGAATGAGTAATCCTTTTTCCCTTTCCTCCGAAAAAGCAGCCATCACGAAACTGCTGAACACTAGCCCGACATTAGCAGAAGCATGGAGAAAATTAGGCTGGGGGTGTTTAGCAGAAAATCGCGTCACAAACGGGACTCGTTCGCAGAATGACTGTCTCGTAGAAATGGGACCGTTTCGCAGAATAAAAGCTAGTACTTCGGTACCGTTATAGAGAATGCAAGCTTAGCAATACTAATTCTTATACTGACGGCTTCGTAACGTTACACCTGGCAAAGTGGGAGGTGGTGCCTTGAGTATTGTGTTTTTCACTTCCAAACCATCACTCGATCTTCAGTGTTTTTCACTTGAATCGAACACCTGCGCATGGGATGTTCCTCATGCACGAATGCCTGAGTCAAGTGAAAAACACTGTAGAATGCACAATGCAGGAAAGGCCTAGTCTAATTCCGGAAACGTAAAGGCATAAAACCTAGCTTCTTAATTTCCTTAAAGAAATCAGCGGGCTTGGCTCCACACTTGGTTTCTCATTTCATTTCATTCGGCTCTTCCCGTTGATGCAGAGCCAAATTCCTTTTTTTCTCTCTCTCTTTCGTTTGCATTGAATACATGACCTTGGAAGTGGAAACATGAAACATGGAAGTTGCAGGATCCATTAACGATGACGCGAACGCAGACACAGCCGCAGCTGCAGCTGCACTCAACCGAGTGTGAAGTTTCAAAGCTGTCAGATTCGGATAAGAATCTTCGGTGTGGTCAGTGCTGACAGGTTTAGTTTGGGAAACGATTTTCTGTATAACGAGCCCCCGCAGCAAAGCCCTGCGATTATGTGAACTGAGCTCTCTGAAACGGATCTGTCGGTGAATCGGTTTTCTACGAAACGTCCCGTTCCCAGAAAAGTGCTTTTCCCTTGCTACAAGCACATCCGAACCATCTCAGCATTGCTTTATCCTATCGCATGTGTCGAAATGCAAAGCATGAACATGAATATGGAAAACGGGGAGATGAGCACATGCGATTTTCCCCAATAATTCTTCAGGTGAAGAAATTTTAACTCTCTTGCCATACTGGAATGTTTCTGCAGACATTTTAATGTTAGTTGCTAAAAACGCACTTGCAAGAACGCATTTGCAAGTTCCACCAAGTGATGATGCAAAGGGTAACAAGAGTAGACTTGGAGTACTTAGCCATTGAACCTGATTAAGTGCATCAATCCTTCAGTTAGCTTTGTAGCAGTTCAGACATAACTTTTTAAAATGTGATCAGTCATTGATTAAGCATCACTGCCAATTCTTAATGTTGTCCATGTTATTTATGTTGTTATTTATGTTGTTATTTATGTTCTTAATGTTGTTATTTGTCCATAGCAGAAAACCAATTCTATATTGGTCCCCTTCCTAATAAAGAGACATTCTGATTATCAGTATCACAACTGGAAAAGAGCATTCAGCTGTTGAATACATTGATAATAATAAGAAAAACTTATACATGAAAATTGTGAGGATTTGATGGCATTATTTATTCCCCATTTCTCATCTCTTGTTTTTTACAGTGAACATTGGCCCCTCATCAGCTTCAGCAAATGCCCAGGTGAGCAGCAGAGATATGTTAAATTGTGCTACTGATCCTTTTCTGTGTGTTTGCTTTACATCCTATGTTATGTGCCTACTCAATATAAACTGGTGTGGGTTGAGTTTACTAGTGGTAATTTCAGTTGGAGAAATTAAAATTGTCTTTTGCAGCATGCCGGAATGTGGAATGTCACAGGGAAAGTGAACATAGATTTGGATAACCTTATGGGGAAGACTCAATCAAAGGTTCAGGCTCCCTCTATCAATCAGCTCAAGCAACAAGGACAAAGTGGTGGTGAGTTCTGCTTCAGTAAGTTCTAGGGGTTTTTTAAAACCCATTAAAGACAATTTATGACTGGCATTCATGGTTTCTTGAAGTATGATGCAGACCAATGTACGAGGTGCAGTCAGAAAGTCCATACTGTTGAGCCATATCTCATTTACAGTCAGGAGTTCTGAATAGAAATTGGGGTCACTTCTTAACATAATCACCTACTTTACCTACACGCAGTTTTCACCTTTGTTGCCAGTCACTGAAGAACTTGGCAAATGTTTCCTCAGATGTATGTTTAAACCACTGGTAAACTGCAGTACCATGGGCTTGTCGGGAGCTTACTCAGTAACGAATCCTCGAGTTCTGTGGACACCCAGAAGTTGTTGGGTGCCAGGTCCAGTGAGTATGAGGGATAGGGAAAGGCCTTGATATCATATTCTAAAAAAATCTCTCTTACAACACCTCCCTTGTGTGGTGGTGCATTGTCCAGGTGAAGAATGAACCAGTCATTGGCCTTCAATGGATGCAATTTTTTTACTGCTGGTAAAAGCTTAGTTTGTTACACATGTTTGTTGTAGCTTCCATTATTGGTTGCACCTTTAGGAACTACATGAGGCAGAACTAAACCCTGTTTGTCCAGAAAAATAGCATAAAAAACTTTCGCATTGGAAGGGACCTGATGGATAACACACATTTGATTATAGTTCTTTGTTCTTCCTCCATGAACTCTGTGTTGAAAAACCAATGCTGCACAAATAACAATGCCAACAATGTTCACAATGTGCTGTCCGGCTCACAACTGATCATAATACCTTGTCCAACCGTAATTTATTCCAACTAATTCCAGAAACATAAGCTAGAAGTGTGCGGTATGGACTTTCTGACTGCACCTTGTAGATCAGAATTTTTTTGTGGGAGAGAACTTGCTGATGAGACTGTGAACGACGGGCGGTCAGATAAAACGCTGGTGATCCCAGTTCACTCTGAGAGTTCTCTCGTATGTGCATGCATGTTTTCCACTCTGTCAATGTTGGAATGATGCTGGTTGTGACTAAATTGGTGAATGTTGACTTTGAATAATGAAATCTGAAAGTGTAACTAAATTGTGGCAACCATTTTAAACTTTCCCTTTAAAGACCAATTATGTATTGAATTGAGTTTGACAGGAAAGGCTTTTGCAGGAAAGATTTCATTTTATTTGAAATATGAATCATGGGTTTCAGAATAAAACATTAATTTAAATTATAATAATATACAACATGACAATACAAAGAAAGAGGGTGATATCAGGATGCTAATGAATCACAGAGACTTGCTGCATATTCCTCACCACAAGTGTTAGGCCTGATGCAACCAAGAAGCTACTAAAAATGATTACAATGAGGGGAAACTTAGGCAAGGACAAGTGATAGAAGGAGTGGGCAAGTTTTATGGAAAACACCTGAATAGGTTTATGCCTGGTCTCTGGTGTAAGGATTAGCACAGTCCTATTTGCAAGGCTTAAACACCCCCCCATACCCACTGCACTGTATATATTAAATATAACTGGTTAAAAATTGGATAGAAAAAAGTACTCAGTGTTTGATGAGGATGAGTAACTGACAGGAATAGCATCCTTACCTAAGGGACCTTGACCCTTGGGTAAAGATGTCTTTTTGCAAGCCATTATCTTAAGCACCTTCAGTGCTGCTGTTGGAATTACTTGCACCTTATTGATATCATCAAAATGGTATAGGTGGGATGCTGAATGGGGACTTATCACCCTGCATCAACCAATAGCCTATGTATATTTTTTTTAGAAGGAACCATGCTAAAGGTTGATCTATCTCATGTTTGTATTCTTGCATTGATTTGTTGTATGTTGCTGCTATTGGTGATGTTAAAAGCAAAGTTGAGGTTTTTTAATTGCTAACAGGAAGATCTAATGTTGATTTATTTATTTTCTTCTTTCAGCTTCAGGAGCATCTTCCTTTCAAGGCTGGCCTACTTCCCCACTTCAGTCAACACCTCCACAAAAGTCTTTCCTATCTGGTCTATAGAGAATTCCAAAGGTAGTATATATCCATCTTCCAAGACAGTTCCAGTTAGGATTCTGTGTATTCTTACATTATGCCCATTAGTTTTTGGTGAATGTTACAGACATGTTACTTTACACATCTGGATTTCATGCAGATTTAAACCCCATGCCGATGAAGGGTTACTCTGTGATCTTATAGCAAAGTTCAAGCAATTTAAGAAAGACTCAGGATAAGAAGCCAGACTACATATATTTCCTGCAGTGATCAAACAATCCAATGAGAAGTTCAAGCATTTCATCCCTCATGAAGTATGCTTTTTAATAACAGCATCAATGTTAAGTTTTGAAGTGATGTGGAATCTAATGGGAATCTTTAATCAAAAATTGATGTCAAACCTGGTCTTTTTATCATCAGGAAATTTCTGGGACCCTTCATGATCTAAGATCTAAGATCTGCTGTCAAACAGCCCAACACAAACTAACCTATCTTTGACTTGCTCATGATTATGCCATCATCTGCAGAATCAACTTATTAAAAATGTGTTAGGCCGAAGGCTTTACCCAAGGGGTATCGTGGTAAATTGCTTTATCCTTCTTATGAAATGTTGATCTTCATAATAATTTGCTGATTTGAGGACTGCCTTTGGCTTTTTACTCTCAGTCCCTGGCAGATTGCTTGGACTTCACAAAAGAAATGCAATATATCGGTGGAAACTGGAAAAATTTAATGGTGCATCTTGTTCTGGACCTGACTTAACAGGGAGCCACTTTTGATAGAACATTCAAAGAGAAGTGAGGTACTACTCCAGTATGTCATGGTGGATATGAAGCAATCCTAATTCTGATTATTACTATCAAGTGTGCAAGGATTACATGTCAATCTTGGTACACGTGTCTCTGTGATCCAGGATTTTAGTCCAATGGGCGCAATCACACTTTGCAGACAAGGTGGAGGGACATTTCATTGTCTCTCATATGTGTTGCCCTTTCCCATGGGCACATAAGTTTATATTCCTGCTTATCAGCATCTTTATCATGTTGCAAATGCTGGTTGCACAGTAACTCATTGTTGGTTTTATGATTCTGCAATTCATTTTCTCATTGGTTCACACCTATGATAAGGCTGCACATCAAGAAAATTGCTCATGGGTGAAAATCAGCAATATAGAGCAGCATACTGATGAATTCCTTCTGTGGTTGCTATTTGTCCATTTGTCCGTGATTCTTAACTCTTGTGAGTGTCCTGGATGCGGTGATATACTTGAAATGTTAGAGGTATTAAAATCTTATCCAGGAGGTGTGAACTTCTCTCTGTCTTGATGAACAGAGGATATTGTTGAGTTAATATAATGAACATGTAAATAGTCAAAAGGACATTTTATATTTTCCATGGCTTTGAGAAATCATGTCTCTGGCCTACACTTCCCCCTACCAATCCTATTCCTGTCCATGAGGTGAAGGTGAAGAATCACTCTTTGTTGTGTTCTGTCTGGTGTTGTCACTTCAATATGAGATTATTGTAGATAGATGTGCATTCTCTAGTTCATGATCAGAAACTTGAAATGCCTAATGAAAGAATATTTTTCAAATAAAATTCCTTGAGAGTCCTTGTTTTGATTGTATCATTCCCTTTGACCTGATGGAGGGTGTTCAAGTTACCATTAAAAGTGTAATTAACATGTTTGCTGCTGATGACACTCGTTTCTATGGAAAGGATAACTACGAGGTGCATCATTGGCAGCGAACTTGTTAAAAACGTTATTACTGATGAATAACAGCAGTACCAAGATACAGTTGCCTTAACTCTGTCTGAATCTCAAAGTCAAGGCACATTTGATTTTTGTATCTGGCAACACTAAAAAATGTTGTCAAAAAGAGAATCTTTCATACATGCTAATCTATGTGCATAGCATTTTCCTCTTAGCTGTTTTAATTTTTTGTCAGCTATCATTCATTGTGGATTATTTACTTGCCCTCTCATAAATAATTATTCTGATGATTTGGCTAAGGGTTGTCCATCCATATTTTCCTGTATGGCATGTGGCTCTCTGTAAGCCAGTCAAAGACAACTATTCATCTCCTCTTTTTTTTTTTCTTGGGATCACTTACCAATTAAGTCTCTTGCTAGCCCTTTCTTCAATCAACACTTCCATGATTATTTAGTTAATTTGTTGTAGGCATCTGTTTTCAGTAACCATCTGTAGTATCACAGTGGTTTGTGATCACATCTTATACATTTTCTTAGGTAAACATCAATGGGTGACATGCACCATTTAAGCAAAACTAATCTGATCTCACAATGGTTCCCTATGGGAATCAGTTTAACCAAGATAAACGTATTCCCATAGACACCCATTATGAAAACAAATCAGTTTAAAGTTAAACAGATCTGGTGCATGTCACCCAATATCTGGATAAAAAATATTTTTGATGTAGAAGAGGTGAACATGAAAAAAGTCAATTTCAGGGCTTTGGGGAAATTTTTTTAGGCAGCTGTATCCGTGAGGGAGAAAAAAAAGATGATATCCAAGGAGATGGATTTGTTTCCCCAAATTTAGTAACACTTCAAAACCCTTGTATGTATGTAAATGTATTCATTTCATCAATGCTTAGGGCATACTAAGCCAATCAAATCTGCCACAAAGCAGTTGTTTTGAACTGTGTTGACTGTTTACTAAAATCATCTGCTTGTAGCATTTGAAATGTAGTCCATGATAGTTATCAAATACTACTGCATAATTTCTTCCTAAAACATAGGAAATGACCTATTTTAGTTTCCCTATCTGCCTCACTTTACATATGTCATATTTGGAATTACATATGAAGTTTTTAAAACAATTTTGAGAATTTCAACATATAATTAATGAGGGATACACCCCCCAAGGGGCCCAGGGTTCATCAAGGAGTCATGTATTCTCCATGGTTGTGTCTCTGCATCCCTGTGCCACTTTCACCATACTTACTGATGAAAATATAAGGCAACAGCCATTTGTTGATCAATATTCTCATTGCATTGAATTCAGAAACATCATGGAATTCACCCACAGACCCTGAAATGTTGAAAAAAAAGTTCAGTTTCACCAACCTCTGCCTCAACATCAACACCAGGATATCTTCTTTTCCTGGTGACTGGTCTTTATAAATAGAGACAAGTATGAAAAATTATACTCTGGTCCTCATCAATCCAAAGATCCTGGTTATTCTGCCAACAATGAGTCCTAAATTATCTAAGTTGATGTTTGTGAACCTAGAAATCATCCTAACCTAAGCCTTTCTCCTTGGCATTGAGTCAAATATGATAGCTCATGGTAAAACTTGAGTGTTTGTGAGGTTATGTACCCAACTACAACTCCCATATGAGCTTTCATGATCTTTGCCATTGTTCTCTTGGCACCCAAAACCTATGCTGCCTTGATGTCCTACTTGACAGGATCTTCAAATGCATTGGCAATTCTTTTCTGGTTAACCTAGTATATTTTTGCATTCTGACCTTAATGTTGTATTAGTATTATGGTGTCTGCCATCATGCATAGACCACTCTGTCTCATGCAGTATATTCAAGATTGGAGGCCTTAGGCAGTGAGCTCTTTGAGAGGGACATAAGCATGTTTGTTTCACTGCTGAGGAGAATCTTTTGGACCAACAGCCACTGTATGATTCTGCCACTTCTTGGACTGGCTTGCCAAAATGGAGAGAACTTCTGTCAAAAGTGAAATGAAGCCATGATGATGGCTATGGCTGAAATTGAAGGAAGTGTGGCCTACATTGTCTTCACCTACATTACCTTTGTAATGGAAAGATTTTCTGAATGTGTCGTTGCCAAGTCCTAAAATTTCAAGTAAGAATAATGTTAGTTTTTCCATACTTCACACTTGTGAAAGCTTTGAAGACACACCACAACCCTCCTGAAAACTTTCAGAAATTATTGGTCTTCCTTTTCTTGCAGTATGAACAGTTTTCAGCCTGGCAGGTCCTTTGTTCAATTATGAGACTTTCCAAGGAAAGCTTACTGACTCTTGCAGGAAGTTGCAAGCTAATATTAGGATCAATGGTTGCTTTGCAAGCTCAAAATAAGCATAATATCTCATTCCAACTGAAATATTAGTGGTTCCAAGAACTTCTTGAGTGGCTCTAGTCTTTTCCTCTCCCTTTTGTTGTTCATTATCCTCTGCTGCAGTACCAAGTAAGAGAAGATTCTTTATCTTTCTTGATACAGTGGTTGAGGTCCGTCACACCTACTTGTGTGATGGACCTCACCCTTACCTGTGCTGAATGTTCTCCCCTGAAACTGCATCCCCTGTATCAAATTCATTTTGGAAAAACGCAGCTTGCAGAAATGAACGAAACAAAGAGACTAAAAACTGAGTTTACTGAGCTCTTTTTTATTGACATGACCTCACACTCAGAATATATTTCACGATGTGTATACACAACCCTAGCACTGGAAGAAGCAAAATGGCTGGATGCATATGCACATCCACTTAACCCTTTCAATGCTATTGACATGCATACATGTCTCCCCCTTCAAGTATGTACCGTTCTTACTCCATAGCAGTGTTACTAAATCTAGTCTATCAGGCTAATGAATCATCATCTGATTCATTACCTTCATGATTCCTCCATCATGATTCATTACCTTCACTGCTAAGGGGTATGTGTGCATATTTCAAATTATTACCACCTTTCTTAATATAGAAAATTGCTTGAAACACACTCACATAAGGGGCACTGCCTCAAAAAAAACAAAGAAACCTTTGCATTGAAAGGGTTTAAGGAGGGAGAAAGGAGAGAGACTTGTCTGTAGGGTATCTCTTGGTATAAAGCAGTCCTCAGAGTTCTGGACAGTTATTTTTCTGGAGGAACATGGGCATGTTTACTTTCTGTGGAGAATCCCATTGCACAGGCTATATCCCTCCATGACAATCCTGGCAACAATGATGCGCTGCAATAATTGACTCAGTCTGTTGAAATTGAAACTACTTGCTGAAAAATTAAATTATGATGTCCAAATTGG